TTTGACTGTATATGAATATACAGTCAAACAGAGTGATTCGCTTAACGAGTGTTTCGCATTACGAGTAAGATTCGGGAACAAATTATGCTCGTTAAGCGAGGTTCCACTGTACTTTGTAAATTGGATCTATCAGTTGATTATTATATCTATTGTATATTTGCCATAATAATCGCTTTTCTTTCTTCCTGTTGCAATACAGTAACAAGGTGACATCCTTGAAGCATGTGGCACAGAAGAACTTCCTCATCTCTGGAGGCGAGGATTGCATAGTTGGGGTCTGGGACATGAAAGGGAAACGCTTTGAGGTGAGAGACCTCTCATGTTTTTTTTTTAACATTAATTTATCAAAATCTTTATCAGCTGGGGAGACTACCATGCCTTTTATTGATATGAAGGGTTTATACTAGGGTTTGGGAACCTATGACTCATGAGCCAAATTTAGCTAAAAATAATGGTTGTTTCTAATTTTTCTCATGTATCAAAAGATGCACATGCCTGTTGCCATCTTCAGGAAAAATTCTGATGTTTTGAAAATCTTTGGCTCTTGAGCACTTAGCTCAATCTTAATATGGCTCACATGGTCAGAAAGATTCCCAACCCCTGGCTTATATGATTAACAGTCAAATCAAATTGGTTCAGCAGGCATATTAAGGCAAGCAGCACATGAATTGCTTTCATTACACTGTACATTGTGTATAGATTTATAGGTGTGTTGTTGAGGAATTAAGAACCTTTTTTATGTTGTGTTTAGAATAAGGTTTTTCTCAATAAGAATGAACTGATGAAAAAAGAAGACAAAACTTGAGTTAGTTCTAGTTCTGATTATTCATTTCAAAGTGGAAATTTTACATTGTGGACGTAATATATCAATGATTGTGAATGTGTGCTCACATTGAGGTCTCTATAGAATTCAGGTATATGTTTTGTGCTTGTATCTTCCTGTTTGCTGGTTGAAAGGGTATACCTTTGAGTTATACCCTTTATATATATACATTATATTTATATATATATTATATATATACCCTATATACCTTTGAGTGTACATGACTGATAATTCTCCAGAAAATCCTAATCATGGGAAAGTTGTTTGAGTTTGGTTGCTGCTGCATTTTATGAATGCTTTCAATAAATCTGCCTGGGATGGGATAATTGGAGTGGGACCTGAAACTTCATTGACCAGAAGTGAGAGAAGCAGGCATGTGCAGGAGGAGTGAAAATGAAGAAGGGAGGAAATGTATGTGCAAGCACAGGCATATGAACCATTAATGAGGTGTGGATTGAAGGAGCCAAGGTAGAGGTGTGAGAGAGGGACTTTTCATTTCTGTTTTGAGGTCTTGTCCTCCTTCCTCTCAAAGGCGGGTGCATCCCTGGGACCAGCATCAACTTGATAGTTATATCTTATGTGTCTTATTGAGGGAAGAGCGATCCATTCAATGAAGAATAACTACTCTGACATGCCTCTTTTATGACTTTTGGTCTCATTCACTCACTCCATGTTTTTTCTCATTCATAAGCCAGAGTCACACTCTGGAAAGGTCAGGAAAGGAAAGGTTTTGTGTGATATTTATACAGGGTTTGCCAAAAAAAAGTGTTCAGCCTTTGAATACCACATATGTGCTGATCAAATCTAGCTCATGCAATATATGTGATAATTGGTAAAAATTCTTCACTAATCTAGTACATTATACTATGAGGGACATGACTAATAATGCACAAAAATGTCTTATAGTGTAATGGTAAAAGAATCTCAGTTGTGCTATATATAGCATTATGCTAGCATGTTAGTAGGAATGCCTTTAATTTATTTTTACTGTGAATTGCTATTCAACATCATTGATAGCCAAAACCATAACTAAAGTTATGAATGAAATTGCCTGTAACTATCAAAAGCAATGCTTAATGTGCCCTCATCTGTTATGATAACCAATGCCATCATAGCCCTCCTGTTTAACCCTCTCTCACACTTAGCATAGTAGAGTGCAGTGAAATACATATCTGCCTCTTGCGCATTGCATAGTATAGTGTACCCATACTTTCAGACTGCATGACAGTTTACTACCACTTGTGGAGTTCCACTCAGTAGTTTTGAAGATATGAATTTTCAAAGTTGGAATAACAAAATTTGACTCTCTGCTGACCTGCTGAAATAAATATGTTAAAATGCAGAAAAAGTCATATGTAATTAATGCAAGAAAGGGTTAAAGGAGATTCATCATAAGCATGAGAGAGAAAATAAGAGTACATGCATCTGCAATTTTTAATCTTTGGACTTGATATTACACTAGTTATTATTATTAGCTGTGGATTATTATTTATTGAATGAAATTGCATTGAATCAAGGAAGAGTAGATCCATCCTCCAAGTTGCTTGAGAACTTCTTAATTGGTTAGCAATCAAATATAATAGGATTAATATTTTCTGGCATGCCCATTTATGTTCTCGTTCCCTTTGTTGTTGCCATTGGTAGACACCAGAATGGCAAGAGGGGGATGCATGTCAGCAGTGTGGTCATCCTTTCTTCTGGAATGTGAGGGGGATTGTGGGAGCAAAGACGATGGGTGTGCGACGGCAGCACCACTGCCGACGGTGTGGGAAAGCCGTCTGTGACCCATGCTCCACCCACCAGGCCCCGCTGCCCTGCCTCGGCTTTGAGTACCCCGTCCGCCTCTGCGCCCCTTGCCATGCCTCGCTCCAACCTCAGGAGTATGTTTGCACCTGTTTTTGTTTTTTCCACTCTTTACATGATTCCTGGAATGTAAATATGCAGCATAGTTAGTAATATAGCATGTCCCAGAAAACGTGAATAATCGTGTAGACATTTAGGTACTATTTGAAATACCCATTTGTGACACTGAATATCTGAAGGCCCATGTTGTGGATGCATTGATCATCCTACTGAGACTTCCAAGGGGCATGAATTGAAAATTTTAGTTTTGCAGCCACGTGGGTCTATGTGATTATTTGTTTTTTAAATTTCTGAATGCAGTCTATGAAAATTAATATCATTATCCAGTTGTATAGATACTTAATTCCAGACTTATTAAAATTATTCTATTATCATATTTAATTTAGAGGAAAAGACTTGTCAAAGGGCAAAGATACACTGTCCTAAATTTCCATTGCATATCACTGTCATGCTCTATTTGGATTCATAATGATTGTCTTGTAATGTTTCATTTTTATAATCAGTTTCTGGAATCCCTTCAGCCCCATGTATGCGGGAAAGTCTTAAAGAAACTCTTGCAGTTTTTGCATTTCACAGCCATGCAGCTTGTCGTCTTGACGCGTGTTGTCTCTGGTTTAAATGTGAATTTTAAGATTAAGTTTGAGGGTGCATTTGGTCCTAGATACACTGCAGAGTATTATGGCACTTGCGAAACTGAGCCAATTCATCATATAACACTGGACCAACGATGACAAAAAATAATAAAATTCAAAATTTGAGGTGAATTAATCTCCATATAGCGGACAAAAAGTCAAATTAGTAAGTTGACTTATCGATGCACATGAAAGAGTACAACTTACCGTGATGAGAGAATTTTCTTTCTCCTTGCTCTGTAGTGATCAAAATTGTATCAATTTCATATTTTCAGCTTCGGCTGTGATAATGAAATTCATTAAAACTCCAAAGATGCATGAAAATAATTATTTACCTATTCAAGCTATTGCACGTCTCTGTACGATGAATGACTCCTGAATGACAATTTTTCCGTTTTCCCCCGAAAGTTGAGGGGAGGAATATCTCGTTAACAGCAGATCCTATCGGGTCTATTCTTTTTTTTACAGGCTGGTTGGATGGACTGACGGCTGATGATGGCTGAGAATATTTATTTATTGTAAAATCCGAGGTGGTTGAGTTCGTATAAAACGACCCTAGGGGATAATTTTGCGCTATGCACGGGAACAGGGGGAACAGTAGCAAAAGAATTTTTTTTATTTTGATTTTTTTGAAGAACACGTAATATTTTATGAATTAAAAAAAAAGACTTAAAAATATGTACGGTATTTTAAATTCAATTTCAATTCAAAGTAAGGTAAATGAAAGCGGCGACGATTAGCAGCATTTCGCAGACGCAAAACATGTAATCTGGTAAAACAACGGGCACGTTTTTGTAAAGTTGGACATTTCAGGGAGTAAAGAAAGGTGTCCGGATTTTCCATGGGTAAAACAGTGGGGTCTGTCCACGTCCGAGAATTTCAGTCGGACTTTTCTTTAAATATGCAAATATTACTTTCACTACAAAAGTTTATCATCACTTTTCCCGGAAGACATAAATAAAGGAGAATATTACATTGGAAAATAAAAGAATTAGTCGTGTTTATTAAATTAGTGATTATTTCATGTGTCCCTTTTTGTAAGGGTGGAGAATACATTTTGAAATACTTCCCTCCTATAATATACGCTAAGGGACATAATTCAAAAGTAGGATTTTTCCTGTACTCAGCCAACAACACCTCCGACCTCATCAATCGAGATTTCAATGCAAAGGTAGCGCTTTCACTAAGTCCTACTTCCTTACCGAAACCTCAAAAGCATAACTTTTCCCCGCATTGTGCAATGGGCGACGAGAAACGATTCTGTATTCAGTAGGGGAGGGTGGGGCAAAACGGTGATAGTTAAGGAAAATTGCCAAAATTTAGTACCAAGGAGTTGACGTAGCACGTTGCGGATTGGTATGCGGTACCTTTCATGTTTTACGAAATCAGCGTCTGAGGAGACGCACAACAAAAGTAGAATTTTTCATTAAATCAACACCACGTCCGTTATGCGTGCGCCAGCTGCTACTTTTCTATTTCTGCCCGATTCGCTAGGATATGAAAAATTCTTTGAAAACGTAACGTCCCGAAGAAATATCTCCCCAAAAATTCCAATATTTTGGAAATTTGACATTTTTCCTGAGCTCAGTGCTTCAGCAGTCACGTTCTTGCCACGTTTCAGTTTTCCATGTGTCTCCATTTGATTGAAGCAAAGAGAACTATTTGAAAATATGTTCCCCGAAAAGGTGTGACATGCATCACCAAAGTAGAATTTTTCCTCAACTCAGCATGCGACTTATGTCAGTCAACTACTCGCGAACGTTTATAAAAGTAGAATTATTTATTTACTCAGCTATACATAGGTTCTTCTTTGCCAAGTTTAAACTTTCTAGTGCCCTCTGTTTTGCTGGATCAGAAATTCGAGAAAATACGCCCTTTGCAATATATGTGCCTTGAGGCGTTTTAACCGAAAAGTTCCTCTTTTTTTTACCGAAATCAATCCTCTGAGAAGTACATTGGCACAAAGTTTCAACCTTATACGTTTGCCCTTTTCGCTGGTGAAAAAACATGTTTGGAAAAGCTGACGCACCCAAAGGCTATGCCCGGAGTGGATGCACCATGAAAACTGAATATTCCCTCAACTCAATAATATCATGTCACGTATACGTGTGCCAAGTTTCACCTTTCCATTTCCATTTTCCCACATTTTTCTTTAACTCCTTGTCTCAGTAGGCACATTCACACAAAGTTTCAGCTTTCCATGTTCATCAGTTTAACTGATGCAAAAAAATTATATGAAAACATCTCCCTTTGAAATTTGTGCCCCCGGGACATTTACTTCCAAAATCTGAATTGTTTTGCACGCAGCATCCCAATAGGTAGTTATGTACCAAGTTTCATCTTTCCACACCAACTCAATACGCCAGGGCAAAAAAAAATTACTTGAAAAGAGTCGGCCCCTAAAAATATGCCCCCACAGGGCATGGATCTAAAATTTTACATTTTTCCTGAACTCATCGTCTCGGTAGGCATGTCCATGCCAAGTTTCAGCTTTCCATGTCTCTCTGTTTTACTAAAGCAAAAATATTGTTACTGAGGGGGAATGAGTAATGCGACTTGGAAGGCATAAGAGGCCGCAAAAATGCCAAGGAACGGCCGGGAATTGAACCCACGCTTCCTGATTGCCGGTCAGGTGTGCTACCACTACACCACCGAACCCGGGACATCCAGTCAAGCCTCTCGATGACATCCTAATCCGTCACAATATATATCTTTAAAAACTTTTCCCCCCAAAATGTGTACCCCCAGGGCATGTACCTCCAAAGTCGGATTTTTCCTGAACTCTGCATCCCTAAAGGTACATGTGTACCAAGTTTCAGATTTCTAACTTCTCTAGAACATGGTTAGAATTAGCGTCAGTCAGTCAGTCACGATCATGTATATATATTAGATTATTCATACCATTCTCATGATATTCATGAATGTGGTGGAAATGTAAACCTGGAGAGACTGAATCGGAATACTGGAACAGATGGTAGCATAGGTTTTCCCATGCCTACTCAAAATTTCAAATCAGCTCAGGTGTGAAGAGTAGATATGAATTGTTCACATTTGAATGATATATTTAAAAATAACATTAAAAATGTACAGACTTCTCGTTTTAAAATACATTTTCAGAAAGGTATCACATCCGACAAGTTCCTGTCACAACCAACATGGTCACAAAATAAGAAATACGAGGGTAAAATAAGCCTAAGTATCGTAATCTTGGGGTGACTTACACTAATTCCTGGCTTTCATTTAACCTATAGATTGAACATAATACTAAGTTATTAGGTTCCACTGTATGACAGAAATGTGAACATGAAAGAAAATTATTTTAACCTGAGGTTTCATGAAATCTCACGTCCGACACTTCGCACACAGGTTACACCTCTAGCCAAAGAGAGTATGCAAGACTTGGGATTATGGAATTTTCAGTCACTGCCTGAGACATTTTTGCAGCCTTTACATGTTGATTCGTCATTTATAATATAGTTGAATACATTTTGTGTATCAAACATATTACTCTGGATGTCACGTCCGACACGGTGGACAGACCCAGTAGTATTCGCTATTGGAGGAACCTGGGTTAGCATAGTGGTGAAAAATGTGATAGCTCATAACTCATCATGGGTTGAAGAGATTTGGAATCCGATTGCACGGTGCACCTCCTGACCATGAGCTTCGAACGATATATAAAATGCCAGGGTATCTTTTTCGTAACGTCGCAACGCGGCTTACAAACATAGATTAGCGTATTATACTAGTATATAGAGCTTATTGATATCGGTATCGGATTTGGTGTTAGGAATTTCGATTAATAAGTTCTGCGGTCTGGTATTTTGCTTCGACAACGTCAGGTTTTTATGTGAGTGCGTGATGACGTTCCTTGGATAATCCCCTCATGCGCCACAGTTGAAGGGGGGGGGGGGGAATGCAATCGATCGAAAATCACTGTAGTTATGAATTCATCCATGCGGCGACTTGAACCGTTAATGCAACGGTAAAACATATTTTACTCCTTTGAGGAGACTTCCTCTAACGAAAATGTTAGACCTTGAAATGAATTCCGATCCGAAGTCTATTCCGCAACTGACGGATAGAGGAGTAAAAAAGAAATACGATAAAAAGAGCCTGCTTTTTTTTTTTGCTCTATCTTGCCTCGCCCTGCAATGACTCCAGCCTTCTACACACGTTCTTCTTTTTTATCACTTTTTCAAAGTTCAGTGGAGTCCCATAATCAAAAGCGTGCCATCGCGAATTTTTATTATTTCTCTGTCCACAAATGCCTCACGTAGCCTAAGAAAACCAACGATGCCACTGACCACGTTCTGTTACAGCCCCAATTATAATCGATATTTTGCTTTCACCTTTTAGAAAATGAGGCAACTGACTGTCATTAAAGTAAATGAACACTGCTAAGACCAATTGATGGGCCTTGTCAGTAACGATTGGTAGTTACAGTGTAAAGTTAGGTCTTATCCTCAACGTTAGCCAACGAAGTCTACAAACGTACCTTGGGATCTGTAAATAAACATAAGAAAGGTGGGGAATTTCATATTATTTGCATACTTAGCTTCACATATATACAGAGGGGGAAAAAATGTAATACCAAATTTGACTGGATTTACACTTGTAAAAGATGAAATTCATGCTTCCTCAATTTCATTTTTTGACTCATCTGGCTTTGTTTATGAGGAGCTCTCAGTTATCAAATATTAACAGGTAGAATGTTATGTTTAAAAAAATTGGAAGATATAATGTTTTTTTAATCAGAAATGAAAAGCACAATTTCGATACATCCCTAATTAAGAACTTCCCAAAAAATGTTATCAGTACTTGGGATGATGTACAGCATCACCAGGGTATTAACTCAAAATACCCCTTTCTATAGTCCCCCACTCTCTCTGCACGAAGTTCAGTCATTCTATATTCTTCATTTTATTGGTTTTCCTTCCAGTCTCTTGCCAATGGCATGCTTCATGGACTCAAAGCACCGCATCGTGAAGGTGGACATCCATGAGGCATCCAACACTCTGCTGACCACGGGCAATGATCGTCTGGTGAAGCTCTGGGAACTTCCCAACCCTGGCTGAATTGCGGCCATCACTCGGTCTGCCCTCTATTTGTGATATTCAGTTTTTAAATCTCCAACATTCCCTATTCTCTTCAATCCCATATGGCTTCCTATCTTAATTGCAGCACCATTTTTCTCTTGGGATCTGAGCTTCGTTTTGCTGTTGAATGTGATTTATCAATAAATGCTATCATGTACCATGTGAGACAAGTCTGTATCCACTGACATATGTAACATTGATTGGGAAGTTGATCTTACATGGGCAATTATATGAGGCCTCTGAGTTTTGTTGACTCGCTCAGATTGTGAATGGTGCATCATTAGGGCAATAAGTGCAAAAATTTAGAAGGTACTTGCCTTTTGTCCTTATTTTACCAATTTGGAAATGTCTTATTTCATGTATTAATCCCTACTTTGAAAGTGAAGGAAAAGGTACATTGATGAGTAATTAATGGAGATCATACACAAGTCATTTTACTTGTAACTCCTCTGTTGGTTGAAGTAACTGTAGGAAGAAAATAGTCTTGTTACTGCAGACTCCTGAAAAATGGGTGAAGTTATTGTTTATTGACCACCATCCAGAGAGTTGAAAACCTGACCAAGTGACCATTCTCCTTTTTATCTCTTCTGAAGAACCCCTCAAGATACCATGGAGATTTGCAATGTCATTCTTGTTTCTATGTGCTCAGGAATTCATAAAACAAGTCACATTGAACAAATTTGATGGCTTGCTTTAGGCAGAAAACTTTTAAAGCCAAGAGCAGTAGATAAAAGGGGAATTTGCAGATTGCTGCAGAGAGAGGGGGCAGACAGAAGTTTGAGAATTTTTTCCTGCTTTATTGATGCCTGGGAAATTAATTAACTGGAGTATGAATAGCCTAGGGGACTAGAGCATGTGTCAGTATTTACTTGAGCCATGGATTAAAGGTGGATGAAATGGATTCAGGCAAAGAAAATTTACATGGGCTTAGAGGTTACTTGTGGCTTTCATTTTGTAGTGCTGGATTGTTGGCAACTGGATTAATGAGAGTTGAGTTGACTGGTCAGAAATGTATTATGAAATGCAACAAACTCCTAAAATCCAAAGGCTCTCATGTTAAAGCAGACAAGGTAAGTTCCCAACCCCAGGAGAAATCCCATTAAACCTATAATAAAATTCACTCTTTTAAATGAACATCATGATTCCATAACTCCTATTTCTTTGGAAATGTTCATGAGTCAATTGGCCATTCTCCCTATTCCAGAACAAAACTCAGTCAGTGATTCTCATTCACATAGAAAAAAAAGGAATGCTTTGCTCACTTGGTCAGGTTCTTTGATAAACTAGAAATTTCCCTTGCTCTGAAATAATTTGCCTATCTCCTGAAGTCCATACTAACAAGAGACATTATGACTCAACATAAGGCAGCATTGAACTTTACTCTTTTGGACAGAGTAACTGGAAGATCACATTTCATATTCATGTTGTGGATCTGTGTAACTCTTTCATAATCTTGACTTTGATTTGAAAGGACAGTATCAATCCGAATCAATTTCTCATAAAACATATTGCACATACTAATGCCCTCATGTTCACAACTTTGGCTGAGTGAGAGAAATCCCTGACTTAGCCTAAGCAATTAATAATATATAGAGATCACCATGATGGCTGTGTAGAGTTTGCAGCAAACATACATATCTTTCACCAAAAAAGAAATAAATGAAGCTGACAGGACACTAACTACGAGAGCAAGAACAATGGCAGTGACAATATTTTCTAAGCGATCAAATTTCCATCAAAACAAAGATCTGCATATTGAAAAAAAAACCTGCATGATTCACGGAGTTATACATTTTAAAAAATCCCTGAAAATCTAGAAGAATATCGAAACAATGTATTTCCACAGTTGAAGGTTCAAGTGCAAAGTTTTTGATAAGGCCCTTTGCTTGACCTTGGAAATTCCTTTCACCACAGTTTTGCAAATAAATTGCTCGAATGAATTCCATGACCAGGTACAAATGGTGTCACTCTCATGCAGTTCACCATTAGATGCCACATTAGGTCTACCAAGTCTACATAGACTGACATCACAATCTTCCAGACTGATATTCCAGCTGAAAAATTACTGCAGTACACATCACAGAGTATGCACATCACCTTTCATTCACCTTCTGGTGCATTCTCAAAAATGCACCTTCAACAAAACAGAAACTTTTTAACAAAAGTTCCTTCATCAGTAGCATGTGACTAAAGTCTCGTCAATGCTCTTGCCATCCTTCCAACACGCCCATGAGCGAATAAAAAATCGACTGCTCACGACATTTGAAATGTCTAATGTTACAAGGACTACGAGTGGATATCACGTTATTCTGAAGAGGAAGGTGAATTGAATTAATCACAGATGTCCTTGCGCTTCCCATGTTGGGAAAGCTGGGGTTGCTTATCGCCCAGGCGGATGATACCGAGGTATGACTTCCCCGGGTTGAGATCGATGTTGCGTGATGCTTCCCGCTGCTGAATGTACACCTAAAATGAGAGCGTGCCGCACCAAAGAATATTAATGCAACTGAGTTGAAATGTGTCACCCTGATACTCTGAATCCAGAAATGAACTGAAAAGAATGAAATGATGAACAAAATACAACTCAGAGCACCTTGGAGAGACTATTTTTCTTCTTGGACATATACCCTGTAGAATGTTTTAGATTTAAAGTCTGAAACTATTTCAAGCAGAATCTCAAAGAAAGGTCTTTCTTCATGCATACATGATTAAAATTTAACATCCCATGAACATTTTTTCTTTCCCTCTGAGATCATTTAAAGGAATATTTAATACTTGTGGCTAATCCGACATCAGTTTTTACGTTTTCCATTTGATCAATTGCCTCGATGATTTTATTCCTGATGAGTCCGCGACTAATTTCTTTTTATACGAGGGGCGTTCAAAAAGTTTTTTTTTTTTTTTACCTGAGGCACTTTAAGTTGTAATACACCATTCATATTTTTTTTAATAGAAAGGCAGACGTCTTTGATGATGAATGGAAAATTTTAAACATATTTGTCTATGATGGAAAGCTTCTATGAATTTTTTCAATGTACTACCAAGGAGTCTGTTGAAGAGGTATTAAAATTCAAAAGAATGCTGTGATTAATTTTCTAACCTTGAAGGAATCATTTTCCTAATGGATCTTACAGAGTAGGGTCAATAATATAGTATCCTTTCAGCCACCTGCTGTGATCTGCTGAGAAACCGACTCCTTCAAGGTTAGAAAATTCATCACAGCATTCGTTTCAGTTTTAATATCCCTTCAGCATACCCCTCGGTAGCACATTGAAAGAAATTCATAGAAGCTTTCTATCATCGACAAATGAGTTGAAAATGTTTCATTCATCATCAAAGACCTCTGTCTTTCTATGAAAAAAATATGAATGGTGTATTACAACTTAAAGTGCCTCAGGTAAAAAACTTTTTGAACGTCCTTCGTATAATGCCTGTTGACTTGAATTAGGCAATTCTGGAGTCCTAGAATTGTCAATTGCAATTTAAAAAAAAAATTTGACCGAGGCTGTTTATGAAATGAACACCTGCCTGATCGTCTTTGCTGAGGGCCTTGACTGTGGCTGTGAAGCAGGAAGAGCCTGTGCGTGCCGTCGATACGCTGCAAGTGCTCAGGATGGCAGGCTTTGCGTTTATGTTGTCACTGCGGTAATAGAGCTCAAAGCCGTTGGAGCCTTCGTAGTTCAGGTAATAAAGCTGGGGAGGAAAATGCCGGGAAATGTCAATAGGAGGCATTGTTGTGTTTGAATCAGGGCATAAGTGCCCACAGACCTCGCAGTTGGTGAAATCAGTGAAATGCTCTTACCAGTCTCTTGATTTTTCTGAAAGGTTTTTTAATTGGCCACCCTATATCAGATGGTTAAGGAACTAGAATACCCCCTGTCGGCCCCAGAATTCACTTCACAAGAGAAAGTCTGCTTTTCTCAAAGAGAGAAAAAAACCACCTGGCTATGGTCACAGAGGTTCAACTTTCTGCACAATAAATATTGAACTGGGCATTATTGCGTTAAAACAATAAGCAATGCCAGTCAGGAGATATATATCCTCCTACTTGATTCTTTTCTGGTCACAGTTCAACTCCTGAAATTCAGTTTTCTATATTCTCATCCACATTTTCTGAATTCTCATTCTTGACCTTAGGGTGAACCATCTCTTAGTTCTATATCATTCTATCCGAGTCCATATCCCATAATTCTGTTTGGCTTCACTCACTTGAGCATAAATGAAGTAGACGCCTGGCTCTTCGAGACGTATTGCTGTCTTCTCCGAGTTGAATTGCACGCGCAGATTTGACTCTGCTTCGTACTGCCAGTCTGGGATTTGTCCATCTGCAAGGCCATTTCCAAGTAAAATATCTGTATATGAAAATCCTTATGTGAAACCCCATCTGCTACTAAAATAGCTCAAGGATGTATGCAGAAATCTGAAAACACTCCTCATACCACCTGAGAGCTCAGAAAATTCAGCTAAGGCTTTTTTATTCGTAGTTTTCTGTTCTTGAATTTTGTTTAAATTCCATATGAATGATAATGTCCCCAATGAAATAAAAATAAAGGTGCTGTGAAGGTCTGCAATAGGGACGATGGAGACATAAAGAATGGAAAGCGTAACAAGTTCATATGAATCCAACTTCTACCCTGAAGCGATCTTCAAAAATATTTTTTCTTTAAAGCCCCTTTTACGTACATTGACAGAATGCCTCTTGTTATTTGAATCACTCTTCACTGTGACGGCTTACCGGCACCAGCACGAACCAACACAATCGTTGTAACTACTCCAACGAAATACGATGGAATAAGCAAGAGTATCGCTACGGCGAGTTGAAGCCAGGAGAAAGCCAGAAGCGACGAAGACTACGTCCAAACCAAACGGGACTCGGTGACATGAGATTCAACCAAACCACGCAGAAATATTTTCTTCAGCCATGTTTTGCGGTATGATTTATCGACAGAAGTATTTCTGATTTATGTCTTCGAAAGCAATTGACTACGGCCGACTAAAACCGCTGCAAATTAAAACTCAAAGGCTGTCAGTTTGATTAGAATAATCAATATAATCATGTAGTCACGATTAATTATTTGTGATTTTAACAATTGTATAGTCAACTCTTCCCCTCTCTACCTATCTAAGACGATAACTGCAATATCTTCTAATTTGGTCAAGAATTACACGATAACAACATCACCGCCAAGTGAATGACATTGCACTTTGTAATATTTCATTCGTCTGCTTTTCGGATATGTTTCATTCGCCCGATTCTGAAAGAATTTACGGGTATATTAAATTGATTAATCGATTGATAACCGACCAAATTATAGCCAAAAATTAACAGAACTTACGTTTTCCTGAGACGATTGTCAGCTTCAGTGTAATTTCCATCTAAAATTAACATCTGTTTTAAAATTAAATTTCAAATAATTTTTGAAACTGCTTCTGAGTGCATGCTTGATGGAACAAAATTCATCAAGACACAATGATACCCAATGAATCTCTTGTCACGAATTCTCATTTGGTGTGAAAGTGGCCTGATTGTGGTACCTTTACCCGAGAAGAAGTAGGGAGGATTCCTGCATGGCCGGAACTGGGCAACCTGGACCCCTGCAAAAAGCATCGTAAAATCCGTCTCGTGAATAAAAGTGGATTTGAGAAATATTCCAAACAGAAGGAGAGGAGCTGTTAATAGCTCCTCTCCTTCTGTTCAACCCCAACTCAACAGAAAAATACTAAATCAGTATTCATTTCCGGCGTTTCGACGTCCACATGCTTTATCAAGGGATCATCTCGTACCATTGAGACTAAAAGAGAAATATTGATAAGTATTTTCCAGTCATTACCACCCACTCTCAATTTGCAATGCCGCAGAAAATGGTAAATATTCTATTAAATGCATTTTTATTAATGTTTACAGTAACGCCTTGTGGCGATTTCCACAAAAGTCAGAACTGTCAGGTAATTCGGAAATATTTTTAAAACACACAAAACCCATAAATACCTTATTGCCGCGATATACCTGAGGGTTAGGTAGGCCCACAAGAAAAGGCAGGGATGTAATTGAAGGGCACTTACGAGATATTCACCTCAGAGGAAAGGGGTTACAGCAAAAGGAAACTCAAGAAACGGTTTTCTTCCTAAGCAATTTTTTGTGTTTTGGTTTTTTTTTTCCCCTCCCAAGGAAGGTATATCCCCGAGGGCTTCATCTGAAGTCAATTGTCTCGTATTTCAGAAGGGGCAAATAAAAAGAGCCCCTACCACGAGGAAATAAAGAACGTGTACGGAAGCAGTATTAATTTCATGCCTTTAAAACAAAAGCCCAAAGGCTAACAGGACATTTCAACTTCTTAAGTGTGGAACCTTCTCGTCCTGAAGAGGAAACCAATTAGAAACTCTCTTCTCGAGGGCTTTCTCCTGCATTACCTTCGAAAACGTTCAAATGCGTCCGTTACAATTTTCCTCATTCCAGGAAAGAACTCGTATCTAGAACTGTACTGATAAGTACTGTTTATGTGCGTAGGTTCTCAGAATTGCTGGGCGATAGCCAGGAAGTACTCAGGAAAAAAAAAAGGTAGATATGAGTTGCCAGCGGGGCATGCACCAGCGTCACACCCAGAATGCAGGCAAAACCTTGTCCCATGAAGCCCTTTTTCTTATTCTTCAACTAAACACATTAATTCATTTAACTTACGAATTCCCAATTGTATTATTAAGAGTTCAACTACTAATAAGTAAGAAATTATTCGAATTATCTCGGAAATGACTAAAAATTTACATCAACTTCTAAATTGCATAATTGATGTTGTAATTAACCGAATAAAATACTTCAAACTGTGCATGGTGCAAAACTGGCATCAAATAGAATCTATGTTGTGAAAAACTATCATGAGGATACCACCCCAGGTGCCAAGCACTTGTATGCGTGTGAAGAATAGGTTAAAGCAAGAATGTGCACTGAAAAGCCCTTTTGGCAAAGTTTTATGTCGTACCGTCACTCTCTTGTCGATGATGCTTCTGGCGGTCACGGCTTTTTCCTTTCCGTCCTCGTTCTTGGGGACTCCGTTTCTCTCTATTGATGTATCCTTCTGCCAGCAGGACTTCGTCCAAACTGCCTTCGTCCACACTTCCATCCTCGAGGAAAAATGTATCTTCCTTGGAGCTTTCCTTCGTGAAGTCTTCCTCCTCTAGACCCTCCAGGAAGTCTTCCAACAGCGATTCCTCTCTCGGAGAGTCTTTCCTATCTTGCTCAGACTTGACTCTAGTGATTTGGAATTGCAAGTCTTCCAGGTTTCCCCGAAGACTCCGAACTTGTCCCTCCAGCTCTTCAACCTGGAACCTGAGCTGGTGGGAGACGGCGTGGAGGTGGAGAACGGCAACCAGTGCCAGCGAAGAGACGATGCATAGCACTAAAACGAAGAAGGCTACAAATCTGACGTATCTCCCCTTGAATTCGATCTTCGACTGCCACCTGGTTGTTATCTCCACGGGCGCTACAAAAGTAACCGTAGATCGTAATCCTTCTCCATTTTAATTCAGGAGCTGCATGAAATGACGGAATTATTGGAATTATCTGCATAATAATTTGAATTGAAAACAGGAATAAATGATGAATCACACTGTATTGAACAAGCTCCAAAATATTAGTTTGCTTTTATTAATATTAAGAAAGCATAAAAACGGACAGTGTTACAGCGTTAAATAGCTAGGCTATGGGTGTAAACATGATGTGTCTTTTTTACTTTTCAAAGGGTTGAGCAGATACATTAATAATCCAGTAAATATACCAACATTGTGTTAAAGAAAATATATGAAAGCTTCGATAAGACTTTATGGATTATTGAGGTTCCAAACTTTTCCTTATAAAACCAGCATTGACTTTAAATACAAATAAAAGTCGTCCCATTACAGAGAGGACAGTAACGGTGAGATGGACCAACGGTACGTTCTAGCATTTGACCTGAAACCCTACATCCCAGGTTAATATATGAGGGTAAGACATACCTAGAAGAGGAGGGGGATTGGATTGCATGGTGGGGCACTCAACTCCTCCCATCCTATTCTTTTAATGGTGTAATAAATATCCTGTCTGACTGGGCACAGTGCAGGAATAACTCAGGTCCAAAATCAGACTGTACAGTGAAAAGCCGACGAGTTCCATATTGTCCTTGGAACAATTACACGGGGAACTCATCTCTTTCATCACAGCACACGAAATCAATGTCCACATATGTTGATTCACGGTCCAAGAAGCAGTGGAGTACATTGGCGATCAAGGTAGAGAGGTTGCGGGAAGAACCGGTATGGAGATTACTCTTTCCTGCAAGCGACACTAAGACTGACTGGGCGTTCGGGCTTGCAAGCTGCAACTCACGAGTGGCCGTGCGGACGGATGCAAGATGTACGGGCTTTTCTATCTCATTGCTTCTTATCTCTCCGAGTCGACAGCGATAAAGGAATCCAAGAAATCGATAATGGACTTGTTTATGACCCGTACACATTCAGTCCTACGCATTCCCATTTAAAAAAAAAGTAAGGTGGCATCGAGAAGGTATCCGTTTCTAGTCTCCACGGATTTGACATCCGTGTCATCTAGCAGGCACGTTTTTTCCATCGAAGGCCGATCGTTTACGATCGGAAATCCCCCCTTGATATTCTTTATAACAGGACGAATAATTCCACGCCATGTCAGTGAACGAGCTCTGCCCACGTGCAAGGCTACCCTGACAGGTAAATTTTAGAGAGATGAAGAAACGGATGGATGAAGCATGGAACATGCGTGACCTTCACCTTCAATTCAGTGGAAGGGGGAAGGAGGGGGGGGGGGGGATAATTGCCTTCCGGTGGCGGGTCAGACGAGACCACAAAAATAGAATAGGGGGAGACGAGGGAAGCACTTCTCGGAGGTGGGAAATTCCAAGCCTTCACTCACTACATGCCTTGCCTTGCCAGGGGGGGGGGGGGGGGGGGTTCCCTTCTCTCTCCACTCATTCATGAATTCGCGCTTTCCGATCGACCTTCAACACGTGCAGCGATGCTCCATTCACAATGTAGAAACATGATCGTATCTTTTCGCGTTCGTTAGAAAGTCACATGAGAATTGTGGAGGAAACTCTCCGAGTCCTTTTTTCCTTTAAACTTGACCCAAATGCGGCCGGAACTGTTAACAGACCAGACGCAGCTATTTTGAAGCGACGCTAATTTCATGGTCTCATCTTCCTAGTTTCGAATTTCTCGCATTCCCATTTGCTTTTCCATGGAGTTTCGTATTTTTTTCACTCGACTTCGTCCCGGTCCCGTTCAGGCTTATAGTCGCGTTGTTTTTTTCTCGGCCAGGTGAAAAAAGGGGAAATAATCCTTAGGGACAGAACAATGTCCATGGACCAGGCTTCCAATAATACCTAAAGGGGTTAACACCCAGGCGCAGGCGGACCGAGTTTGATTGGTAGGAGGTCATAGAACGCCGTTTCGCCAAGATCGGACCTCTTTTCGAACCAAAGTGTAAAATCGTCGAATTAATAATCTACCTCTACCTTATATTGTGTGCATCGGGCCTGAAACGTTTCTCTCTCTGTGTACGCAAGTGGACCGCTTTGATAGCGTTTGCAGGCCGCGAGTACGAGACCCCTGAATTGGAGGATGAGCGAAAATTCCCTTTCCGTAGGTTTGGTTAGCCTGCCCTGCCAGCCCCCCCTCCTCCTCCCCCCCACCCTTCATCCCTCAACCCGACCTAGCTAAGGCCATGAGGTTGCAAGTGTGTTCCGCGAGGTTAGGAGTTTTTTTTTTCAGAATTCGTCCGGAAACGAAAAAGTAAAGGAAGGAATTCTAAGGGGGGCAGCCGCTTCCCCAGCCTCCACCTGCCTCCACTGCACCTCCTGCCTTCGCCAGTCTCTGCCATCAGCTGGTCTTCCAGTAATACTCGGGTGGCTGAAAGTGTCACCATGCTGGCCTTGCCCTGGTTATGGGGATGTAAATGTATTGGAATATAACAAAACTAACTTATAATCAGCCAATTTGAAATGGAACTTTACATTTTCTGGGTTGTAATTCGAACTTATGTTCCAATATTATTTTAAGCTGAGTTCATAGCAGAAAAAATTCAATGAATGCTGTAAAATTAATATACGTTAAAAAATACTTCAAACTGATATACTTTAAATGTCGTGGATTGACAGTATTTCCGATCCAAGTGCCTCGAACAGGGAGAGGAAGAAGTAAAATGCATGCAGGGACCCATTATGGCGCGACGGTGGGAGGATTTTCCTGCAGGTTTTTGTGAAAATAAATATGGGAAGGATACCAATTACTTCCATCCGGGCGATTAATGTGAAAATATATTTTATTAGGCCTGAAGGTTGCATAGTTTATCAATTTAACCCTTTCAGACCCTGCGTCCATTCAAGTGGACGCCACATTTTCGCATGTCAGACCTTACAATTTAGTTTTCTGCTTGTCCGATGCTGTCTGCTTGTCCCCATTGGAATTTCGCTTTTCCCGCTTTTCCATGAAAAGTAACTCGAAAGTTGAAAATTGACGTCTTGAGTCTTCCGTTTTCGTGAAGATCATCAGATAGAAATAAAACTGGACCGCGAATGCCCCTCAGCAGCCGTTCGTGCCTCAAGAATCACCTGCGTCGTGCGTTATGCAGAATGGGCACAGAAAGTTCATCAAAATTCGACCTCTTTTTTTATTCGAATAGTGAAAAACTAGGACATTGAAATAAACATGGAATCACAACCCAGTTTTCTACACAGTTTTTTTTATAGGTTTTTTTTATGCGATCGGCAGGCTCCTTCAAACGGGTATTCTTCAAGAAATGGCGCAATTTATGGTATGAGAAGGTCTGTATTTTTCTTCTCTTGCTCGAAGGAAGAAGAAACTTTTTAATGTAGAGTGCCAAGGATGAAAGGGGAAAATGCAGATGGCTGCCGAATGAGAGGAGGAAGGAGCACGTGCATCTAAGGAAGGAGTGTGAGCATTTCCCCTATGATTCCCCTATGATGGGTGAAATTTTCTCTCATTCCAGGAAAGTGGGAGGGAGGTGAGAACCTCAGGGAAAACGAATGTAAATTTTACCTTGATGGAATGAGAAGCCTTATATATGTTCATGTGAAAGAGAGGGATTTCATGATGATCTTCATTTCGTATTTTTATATGAGGACTGTCTAGATTAATTTCCGATATAGCATATTGCTCGTACGATTGTCCCTTATCATCACAACTATGACCTACTGAGAAATCTCCCCGATTTTTAAGTTATTGCCCAGTGCAATTTGTGATTTACAGAGATCGCAACATGCAAAAATGTAGCTCTGGTTATAAAGAGGCAGAGGGTAGGTAATCTCCTTTGCTCAACGTTTTTGTGAGGGATCGAAGCTTCCATCGACCAAAACATTTCAATATGCGAGTGTACAGTATGATGAATGTCAGCAATACAAAATTCACGATGTATATAATAAACAATAAAGTTTCAAATAATGATGCAAGAGTTCCCCATGGTCAGTCAAATATTTCTTGTCAGGAGAGTGAAGCTCTCGACAAGGTTTAGATGCTTTAGTCGGCCGTTTGCCCGCCGGTCATCTGTGAAAACAAATAACCGGCAGGTGCCATTTCAGGCCTTCCCCTTTCACCAAGGTCATAATCGCAATCTTCCAGACTTGTCGCTGCCGATTCACTTCAGTACATGCACGTCACAACTACCTCGTAATGCAGGGTATTTCCTCCAGAAATTGTTCGTCCTCAACCATCACCTCTTCTTGTACTTCTTTGAATTGAGAGAAAATTCAACATAAACTTCCGCACAAGTTCTTTGGCGCTAGCACGAGACAAAAGCCCTCGAGGAGTCTTTGATGTGTGTCCAATATTATTGTAGCAGGAATGCCTCATGGACTCTGGATTGTCCCATGTTCAAGGAATAGTGAAGGCTTATCGCATTGTCCCTGATTGGGAAGGGAAGGAACCGCAGATGTCGGTTTTGCCATTTTGAAGGGATTGAGGCGCCTCGCCCAGGCGGACGAGGCCCAGGAACGACCTCCCCGGGTCCAAACTGATCTTGCGTGACTTTTCCCGCTGCTGGATGAACACCTACAACAGTGTGTCCCACCAAAAAAAAAAAAAACATGAGTAAAACTGACGATGAAATCAATGAATTTAGAAACATGAGCCGAGAGAAAATTGCATTATGAGCTAAAGAAAAATCTGTTAGGAATGTGGAAAATTACTGTTTTTGTGAAATTAAAAAAAACTGTACATCCGCTGGCGCCAACTGTAAAATGTTTTAGAGTCTGTATTGAAGTCTGAAATCATCTGAAACAGGATCTCAGAGCAAGAACTTTCCCAGGAGACTAATACCCTATTAGCGCATAACATTGAATCAACATTGATTCCACGTTGGTTCAACGTCCGAATGTTGAATCAACGTTGAATCAGTGTTGTTTCAATGTTATGTGATATTTGGGTAGGCTTCAGTTCTCTGTCATTTGTGAAGAAATAATTGTAAGCTTTCCCCTCATCGGCATCTAAAGACATATTTATAAAGACATAGGCAAGAATATTAACCCTTTCACTGGCATTGGCCCAGGAGACGCGAATGCCTCCTTCAATTCGCCTCCAGGAGGAGGCTGGAGATTTCAATTTCCGTCAGCAGTGAATGGGTTAAGTACCCGTCACTAATCCAATGCCATCGTCAATTATTCACTAGCAATCAATAGCTCTCATTACTATATATCTGATTGGTTCTATGGTCGATTGGCTGCCTTTTTTCTGCTGCCGACACAAAATGGACTCCGCCTAAGTCCTTGAGTTGAACTTAGAACGTTGAAAATAGGCTGATATTATTTGATGAAAATTCTTGCCTGGTCGTTCTTGTCGAGGACCTTGACGGCGGCCGTGAAGCAGGTCGCCGCTTGACGCGCAGTCGATACACTGCAGGTACTCAGGTTCACCGGCTTCGCGTTCAAGCCATCGCTCTGGTGGCACAGCTCGAAGCCATTCGACCGCTCTTCATTGAAGTAATACAGCTGCAGAGGAAAGAGAAAATCGCATTTTGTGCGTCATGTGTTTCTGCGCGTGGAACTTCACGTTCATTAGCCATTGCTTATAGGTCAAGATTTTCTTGGACCTGGCAAAGTTTAAGTACAAAGTTTTGTTACTAACGTTGCAGGCTCATAATTTGATAAGAGCCAGGCCATCGTTATTCCTGTATTTAAATGAAATGTGGTTTTCGAAGAAGCTGTCTCCTATTTCTCTCTGAAACCCATATCGCTTGTCAAACCCATATCCGGGCCTAAATACTCCTGGTTGGCTGCAAATTTTCATTGAATCCAAAGAACGCAGTCTTAAAATGATGTCATCTAAGAGTGATTAAGAGGGATTAAGTTTCTGCAAATTAATTACAAAACTGAGTTACCAGCCAATGGATATATGGGGTTGTCAAATAGCATTTAAAAAAAACTCATGGTTCCTTAGGCATAACAAATCTCACATGCAGAATGAACCCAATTGAATCTGAGAAATTAAAAAAAGGATTTAAATTTAACCCTTTCCATGGTATTGCTTCCATTCGGAGACACTATTTGAAATTCATTCAAGGCTTGTAGCAGCATGTGCAGCAAAGATTTGAGCAAGAACAAAAGTCCAATTGAAAAATGAGCTGTCATCCAGTCTGGGGTGTAAAAAAGAACCTCAGTTATAAGCAGTTTTTCGCTTGAGTTCAGTGCATTTCTGACCACTCCCATATTAATTCGCTATGGAAAGGGTTTTAAAAAGTAATTACTTGGTGAGTAATTTTTTTAAAATATGGTCATTCACAAGTACAAGACCTAATGAACGCGAAACCTTTAGTCAAGAAATGTGAGTATTTTTTATTTATAAATACTTTATTATTATTATTTACTTGAACGCCACTATGTTCTATGCAGGCATCTCATGTTTGGTAAGCTTAAATAACCCTTCCAAGCGCTCTGATACCAATAGTCTGCTCTTCAAGATTCGCTTCGAGGTCATCGAGATCATCTGCACACATTTCAATTCGTTACAAATTTATAATAATTATGCATAATTTATATAATTTACTTCAAATAAAAGATGTAAAAAAAAAACTCTTTACCGAGTGTAAGGCCGATTTAGAGGAAAATCATGGGAAGCCAAACATATTTGAAAGTGTTTTTCCAGAATTTGCATTAATTTGCAGAATTTTCAGTTTTGATATAGCTCAAGTAATTGCAATTATGTGCGAAAAGTCAGCCTATTTTGGTTGCACTCACTTGGGCGTAAATGAAGTAGAGACCGGATTCCCGGATTCTGATGGCCGTCTTGTTCGAATTCAATTCCACGAGTAAATTGGAGTCAATTTCATGTCGCCAATCTGGGATCTTCCCATCTGCATATCCATTTCCCAAGTGCAAAATTTTAAAGATAAATTCGTGAAATTCCTTCTGCCTCTGAAAGTGCCCTCGAATATCGGCGTAAAAATTTAAGAAATGGCATGAAGAATGGATGAAGAAAACTTAATGTGCCTGTCGAGAATGAAATTTTTAGCTTTTAAATTAATTTTTTATTATTTCTAACATTATGCTGATTTCCAAACATATCTCATTGTCATTCCCCCCTTTTCAAGAGCTGATACGTCGATGTAGCTACCCCGTCAAAATCGCTGCAGCGACTCCGACAAAACTGACGGCAGCATCGCTAGTTGAAACCTGGAAAAATCGAGAAGCGACCAAGTTCGCCCCAAACGTTATTCGGTGGTACGATCCAAAACAAAAAGCGGAAAATTCAATATATTTTAGCATTACTTTTATTATTACTTTTTCAAGTACTTACTGTACTTAAGTAATTCCGACTTGCTTCTTGGAAGCAATCGACGTCTGCTGGCTTCAAAAGCAAAAGTTCAAGTGCGAAAAGAGTCTGCAATTTCAAAACGCTATCTTTTGGATTTGAATAAAAAAAAATCATTAACCCTTTAATCATGATAAAATAATTATTTGTGGACTAAAAATTAATCTAAGTTAGCAAGTAACCAGATATTCTACGTAGTAAATGTTCCTAACCCGGCTTGCACCCATTCCATTCCATGTAATTTAATTTAATTTCAACATTACCACATGCGAAAGACTCTGAAAGTTCCTCTGCCTCCTTGGATTTTGTTTCTTTCGCTAGATTCAGAGAGTGAATTGTGGGTCGATTAACCCTCAATGCATCTCCTCATTCTCAATTAATCTTTTCAAAATACTTTTCCTTATTACTATCACATGTCTTCATGAAAAAATTGGACTTTTTAAGTTCACTGCACAGCCAAAAAAACGTACACAAATGAAGCCACTTGTGTAATGGCTACTTTTTTTGCAACGGGGTCCATTCGACCCAGAACGGTAGTTACGGAGTAAATTGATAAACTGATCAAGCGGCCCTAGATTGACATTTTAACAATTTTTAGGTATCTCAAGTTTGATTCCCATGAAAAATTATAAATAAATGAAAAATTGACGCACAATTTCAAATCAAATTCTTTTCATAAAATGTAAACCTCTCCAAGTGCTTATCTGACGGAGCAAAATGTTCCAATATGTGACAAAATACGTTGAATCTCGCCAAAAAGAGAAGGAAGCGTTAGATAACTGAAGATAACGTTACCGTCACGCGGAGTGAAGACGGAAGTTTTCATGCACGGCCGGAACTGGGCGACTTGGATCCCTGCAACAAGGACAGTCAAATCCGTCTCGTTTAATAAACTCCACTCTAAATATTGAAAGCTGGAAAAATGTTGAAATAATGTGTCAAGCTTGTGTCCCACTGGGTGAGCCAAAGTCTTTTCACTTAGAGTCCACTGTTCCACTAGGTGGGACTTTTTGATTATGCCTATAATTTGTTGAGGGAAACCTTTACAGATGATTCTTCACTTTCCCCAATAGATGTAAGTCCATAATAATCTAGATATTTAGTGAACATTTCGATACATTTCCCTTCGTTATGATGATATGGAGGAGTTTTTATTGACAAGTGAAGACAATTTGAGTACCGATGAGAGTGAATGCGAAGATGAGAATGTAAGTGGTGTTAGCGAAAGTTCATTATAATAAAAGAGGCAAATTTTACAGTAAATTCATGAAAAATAATTGGACCTAGTGGGCGTGCTTTTGAAAATAAGGACCGCAAATGGTTAAGGTATATATCTTCATCTTGGACCGATTGTCCCGTATTTCACCCAATTCACCATTATGAGTGAAGAATGTGCAGGCAGGCAAGTCAGGATTTCGTGACTTTTAAGAACGAATTGGTCAAAGGCGTGAAATCTTAAAACAAAGTTCTGGAATGTGAAGCACTCATGTGATCTCAAGTGGAAGCCGACTCGAGACTCGCCCTTTCGTCTCTGTTCCTTCCCGGCGAGTTCACCTAGATATTGGTGCGCTTAGCTTGTTTTCATCTTACTGCGAAGGTACTCGTATCAAGAGCAGATAACTGCTGCCTACATGCGCAGTTTCTGGCAATAATCATGATGTTCCCGGAAAAAAAAACTGAAAATAATCAGAGATATGGGTTGCCAACGAAGCATGCAGCAGCGCCATATCGGGAATTCAAGCAGACATTGCCCCTTTGAGCCACTTGTCTCATCCTTTTAATACTGCCTTAATACTATGTACTAAATCTATTAGAATAGGTTGAATAATCTCACAAGTCAGAAATGAAACAAAAAAATAAAATATCAATAATAATAATAATTGATGGTGAAATTAACCGAACGAAATGCCTCAAACTGTTCTTCAAAATGTATGTAAGAGGAGACGAAGTCGAAAGCAAACGCTGATAAAGTAAGAAATTGGTCGGGAAACCTGACCATGGCAAGTTTTCTCGGCGTACCATCAATCTCTTGTCGATGCCTGTGGCGGTCGCGGTTCCCTTTCCGGTCTTTCTTCCGTTCTTCAGATTCTTGTTTTCGGGGGCTCCGTTTCTCTCTATTCTTGGACTCTCCTGCCAGCAAGTCCTCGCCTGATTTGTCTCCATCCAGGTTTCTATCGTCTATCAAGTCTTCTTCCCCAAAGAATTCCTCCGTTATCGGCCCTTCCTTCTCGATATCTTCATCTTCTGGGTCCTGAAGGAGATCTCTCACAGACAATTCCTCTCCCGGAGAGTCTTGCAAGTTTTGGCAAGCCTTGACGATGGTGATCTGGTACTGCAAGTCGTCCAGGTCCCCCCGAAGGCCCTGTATCTGTCCCTGCAAGTCTTCGACCTGGGACCTGAGCTGATGGGAGACGGCGTGGAGATGGAGGACGGCAACCAGGGCCAGCAGGGAGACGATGCAGAGGACCAACACGAAGAAGGCAACGAAGCGGACGTACTTCCCCTTAAACTCGATCTTCGACTGCCACTTCGTTGTGATTTCAACGGGCTCTACGTGAATTACGTATGGATCAAACTAAGGAGCTACAAAGAACATTAGACAATTATCTGATAATGATTGGAAATCTCAATTAATTACAGCATATCGAACTACTTTCTGGGAATAATTACTTGCAAATTAAAAAGACCACGTAGGCATGATCGGCGCTGTACCACTGCGCTATTGGATTGGAAACGATACACGGAATTAAAATATCAAGGATAGGGATGAGCAAATCAACTGACAATTAAGTAAATTAGCAAATACTTTCCGATTCGCTCCATACATACCAAATATAAAACCCAGGATAAAACATACCCAGTAGAGGGACGCTGGATTGCATCGTGGGATTCTCAGCTTTTCCCTTCCTCACAGGTCTAATAAGCTTTCATTCTGGCAGGGCAGGGCGAAGGAAAAACTCAGGTCCAAAACTTTGCTGCATTCTTGAAAACTGACGAGTTCCATGTCGTCTCTCGATTGAAAGTGCTGAGAGCCCATTTCGTACGTCACATTCGAGCACGAGATGAATGTCGACCGACCCTTGGGAAGCACTGAACGGACGCACTGAACGAATGCAGCCGAATCAGATACGTGCCGAGGAGGGCAGGAAGGTAGGAGGGTAGGAAGCAGCTCTCTTAACCCACAAGGAATTCCGCTCTATCAGCCCTTCACCTTAAGTGTGGTTCTGCGAACGGATGCACCGTGGCTCCTCTGCGCCTGCCGGCCGCTTATCTTTCCCGGTGCTCGTAATAACGAATCTGAATATCTCGACATGGTCCCTTTTACAACAGGGAGAGACCAGGGAAGCGTTTTGCATCTCGTGGAAAAGTGCGCGATTCCAAACCTCTTCTTTACTGCGTGTGCCATTCATTCATAACTTCGCGCTTTTCAATATACCTTTAACATGTACAGCAATATTCCATCGACAACTTTGAAGCATGGTCATTTCTCCCTTTCGATAAGATTGATGATAACGATGGAGGAATATCCCCGAGTCCTATTTCCCCAAGGCCTTACCTCACGCGGCCATCTCTCTGAAATGACTAACTTCAGTGGTCTCTTTCTCATCCTCCCAGTTTGAGATTTATGTAGTTCGGAATGAAATCCACGCGGACGTAAGACCCCCAGAAATGGCGTAAGCGAAAAAAAAGGCACCAGAGACGAAACTGCAAGAAATCCATTAAAAAACCTAGAGTTTCATCTAAACATTGTACTCAGGAATAGCAGAAGAGAAATCTCAAAATTGTACATTAAAAAAATCCATTATCCAGTACTTACTCAGTAATATCGTCTTTTTAAATTTGCATGTCAAAAGTCAAATTTACTTTTTTGGCGTGATTTATGCCCAGTGTTGTAACATGAATAACATTAAATGATGGTTATGGCTAAACAAATTTCACTAAATGATATTGCAGCAAATAAAATAAATTATTCAAATGACGTCCGTTGAGCGTGCTTTCTACAACTATGATTAGGGTCCTATATTTTTACATCCGAAATTTATGAGAAAAATGTTTGCGATTTATATCATTCAATACTTTTTTAAATTTCATAGAAAATTTTAAAATTCAATGGAGATAATTCTAGGACATTCGCAAAACAGGTACGCAGTTTTTTTTCTTATAGCCGGGTTTTTATCCATTTGGCTATTTCGGGTTTTTATTTAAGATGGCTTTTTTCTACTTTTACCAATTTTTTTTCCGTAGACCGTAGGGTAGACCGAGAAATTAAGGTGTTTTTACCGCGCCCTATCTTCTCACATGGCCAGCCAGTGGCTGATCCAGGTGGCAGGGGGGGGGGGGGAGGGTGTCGACAGCCCAGCACATATGGCCATGTTCGCATTCATTGTCTTTAAATTCTTCCGTGCTTTTGCACGGGCTGCTGACTAGTACCACGTATATATAAAATTTTGTTTCCTTGGGAGGGTATGCGGCAACCGCCCTCCCCCTTCCCCCCTTGGTGCACCAACGGTGAGACCTCGCGTAGACGAAAGCCAAAGGTGTTCGCCCGTCCTTAAGGCCTCAGGCAGCCTGCCTCAACCGGTTTCTCAGGAAAATCCCTCCGAATGTTACCACACTGGCGGTACCCTAGCTTGAATCAATTCAAACTGAACCAAATAAAAAAATCGTTTACCTTCCTTTTTTGAATCCAACTTTATTTACAATCTCTTGGTTTGAAATCCAACTTTATTTTAATTTTTGAATGGAGTTTATAAATAGATAAAGAGAAGAAATAAATTACTGGTATCGATTATATCGAGTTCCATCTTCTACCATGAAGAAACTGGTTAGAATAGAATACAAGCAGACCTTGAAGTAAGCCAGGGTTGCACCTGTTTTAAAGGAACATGAATACATTTGTACTAATTTTTAATCATAAGAATATATATATATATATATATATATATTTAAAGAATATAACATAAAAATAAGAATTCAATAACAGAATTCAATTTAATTTTTTAAAATGAGAATTTAAAAATTTTAATCATTAGAATATAATCTTTTTTAAGAAAATAATTTTTGTTTAGTTTTTTTTTAAATATGATTTTTACCATTTTCAATTTAATTTTTATATACATTTTTTAAAATAAGAATATATATTTTTTGAACTAAGAATATAGGCCTACCTCTTTAATTTATACCTATATTTATACCTAAATACCTACCTAAATATACCCATTTAAATAAGAATCCCCTTCCCAGTGGTCGCACTCTCTCGACAAGGAAGTGGAAGCCTTCAACTTCAACTTCAACTTGTGTTTCCGTTATTTGCATATACCAAATGCTCCAACCGCGTAAATTTATCATTTATCTCTCGAGTAATTTGCAATGAATTATAGCTAAAAATTGTAGAAAGGTAATATTTTGTAGCAACAAATAGCAAGAAGCAAGAAAAGCCACATGCAATTGTGTACGATCGGATAAACTTGATGAATTTCCTCACCGCCGTCTCACTCAGATCGAGGGAAATTAGTTATTTATAATAGAGATAAATGAGTGTTGCGAAATTCATAATTATCCAATGGTATCATGTAATGGACAGGCAGGAAAGGCAGTATGGGCGTACTCGTGTGGAGAAACCTCGTCAACACACGACCACGAAATTTTTTTTCAAAAATGTCGCGCCTAATTTGATTCTTAAATTGTAATGAAATTTTTCATTTCATTAACAAAAAATTACTTACCCACCACCTGCTCGAGAGGGCGGGAAAGGATCGAGACTGAGTAAAGGACATTTTACAAAAAACAAAACAAATAATTTTTTTTCTTCGGTTTCTTCTGATGCAGCGAAGACTGCGCGCGAAAGCCATTTTCCGTGTCCTCACATTTCAATGTGAGAATGCCAATTACTTCCGTTTCTGCAATTATTGCAGCAAAAAAAAATTTATCGTACCTTAAAATGAATTTTGACTCCAGGCCCCTCAACCCCCTCATTGGAATGCCCCTTGGCCTTAACCTTAACCTTAATCTAAACCTTCAAAGGACAGTGTGTTTATCCACTTTTCTTTGACAAAGAACTCCAGAATTGAATTTAGCAGTAAATTTGAAGTCTTGAGTCTGCTCTTTTCGTAAAAACTAAACACGTTTCGGCAACACACATCACATAACATTCGCCTTTGCGGTAAAATATATTTTACGTGCTGGTAAATAAAAAGTTAATCACAAATCACAACTCTGATTTTTTGCGTTTGAACATTTTCCTCTTGCCCAATGTGATTCATCAGTAATTAATAAAATAGTGCATATTTTCTAATTGGAAGTCTCAGTCTACTCATGAAAAAAAAGTTCCCATAGCAATACATAATTGAAATGGAGTTCCCAATTCAATTCATGAGAATTGATCTCATTTGCTGCAAAATACGGCCCAAGGCTTGACTTCAGTTTTTCGCTGGTGTCAAAATAATGCCACGGTCATTTTTCGTGCATCTGCGCAAGTTTTCAAGTGGCTTCTCTTGTAAATTGTTGCACCTTTGTCCCACGACGATCTCAGATGTTCGCAGTAACTGAACCAGGAGCAAAGTGAATTCACGCGCTGTTTTTCCCCAGATGACTTTGGAAGTAAATAATTGCGTGGATCCTTGTAGCGATCGATGGTTGGATATGCAAAGTTAAAGAGTTGATTGTTGATTTTCAAGTAGGAAATTTCCACCTAGTCGTGCCATTGATGGAAGCATATTATGGTTCTTCAAAAGCTGTAAATCACAGTCTTTCAGCCACTTTTTTTCCAATCACAGGTCACGTCACAATCAGCAATGAGTCACTTCCGCCAAAAATAGTTTGCAGAACCCAAGCCGAAATGAACTGGAACCGTTTGCAAAATTCCCGTCTCCAAAAGTCTGCGAAAGTCTTTTTTTTGTCACTTCCGATAAATTGTCACGAAACTGGGATTGAGAACAGTTTGCGACTCCTCTGGAATGCCCCACTCCACAGGGAACAGAGTTCGATCGCGCTTTATCAACTGCAAGAATGCTTCCGGTGCCGAACGGCGTTGGGGAGGTCGCCCAGCCGGACGATGCCCAGGTACGACTTCCCCAAGTTGAGGTCGATGTTGCGGGCTTCCTGCCGTTGTTGGACGAACACCTACAGAAAAGCAATGCGGGAATGTTGAGCGAAGCGGATCGGAAGTAGCTTTAAAAAAGGAATAGAGAAACAAAAACGGACAGAATTTTTATTTATGGTCAGAAAATGGCAAAGACTAAGCCTTTACATTTGATTACTTGTGGACTTGCAATTTAAAATTTAAAACATGTATTTACATATTTTGAAAAGGATCTTTGATTGAAAAAGGAACTCTTGCCTGGTCGTGGGCATCCAGAGGGGCGATGGTGGCCGTGAAGCAAGAAGCGCCCGAGCTCGCCGTCGAGACGCTGCAAGAACTCAGGATGGAAGGCTTGGTGTCCAAGTTCTCCTTTTGGTAAAATATGTCGAAGCCGTGGGAGATGTTGTTGTTGATGTAATATAGCTGCAGGGGGAAAACGCGGGGAAAGTTGCAGTCAGGCCATCATGTTGTCTTCAACGGGACGATAGAAGGATTAATGTGTCATGTTTCCTGTGCCGAATGACCTATGATGGCAGATCATCCAGATGACATATGATCCAAATGACATCCCCGTCTAACATCTTAGGGTTCACGTTCCAACGGTCATGCTCCGATATTGAGGAAAGGATACGATTTTAATCACAAAAATTATGGGACGCGTTTTAGAAGTGCGGTAATCATCTCTCTCTTAATATAAAAGCAATCTCCAGTCATTCCCTCCACGACTGGTCGTGCCAAATGTAGGTGTGCTACGTGCAGATATAGGGCATTTTAAATAAGCAGTATCTTTCATGCTATTCCATCGCTCTCTGAAAGCTCGTGAAAAGCTGAGAGCACCAGCTGACCTAAGCGATCGGGCTAAGTCCCTTCAGATCACCTTATCCAGTTTGTTGACAGGGAACGTCCAGCCCAGAGCAGCACGAAAGTGGCATCGACGCAGCGGAGAGATTCTCAACTTTGATCCCATTACCCTACCACAAAATCCAGTACCACTCTAAAGAATCGTGTATAGGATTACACCGCCAAAAATAAAGGTTCCAGAGTGAAACCACTATCGACTCATTTCCGTGGAACCGATCACAAAGATAGTGAAGAAATGGTTCCAGGTATAGATTCTTACCGTGCCCCATTCTTAATAGCTCAAGAGCTACCTAGTTGTTATTATGTCTAATAGTTTTTGAAGCGAATTTAAAACCATTTCAAATGTGTTCTCGATCACCGAAAATCGCTTTGAAAGCGAACAATCATGTCCGAATTCTAGTCCGAATCATTATTTTTACGGTGTAAGTCATCTCCCCTAAATTTTCAGATTGTTTTTCCAGGTTGTTTTTTTTTTTCCCCGTGGATTTTTCCTCGAAAGCCCAAATTCCACAGATCCATTAGGTTCTTCCTCACTTGAGCGTAAACGAAGTAGACGCCCGGGTGCTGAAGCTGGACGTTCGTCCTCTTCTCGTTGAAGTGGACGCGAAGGTTCGATTCCTCTTCGTAGGTCCAGCCCGGAATGGGCCCACCTGCAAGTTCGGTTCAAATCGTTTTAGTCGTTTGGAAAAACTGGTGAATCGAACTTCGGATTGCAGAGACGCGTTCGCCGTGGCTTGCACATACACGATCGTGCAGAGATACGGGAACACCATCGCTCTGATGCTTGCAAAAACGTTTGCGATGGATTTTGAGAGGGAGGGCGAAAATGAGAATGATCAAAACTGGATATGCAGTGTTAAAAGAGGAGTACAAGGGCGGTAAAATCTGATTTCCACGTTAGCTGAGAAAGGAAGGGGTGAAAACTGGATAGATTTACGGAAATTTCAAGCGTTTCCCAGTTTAAAACTTCTTATGAGACGTTTCCAAGTTACTCATACAGCCTCTTACACTAGTGCTGAGAATACAGGGTGTTTCAAAAGCCACTAAATATATATCTGTGTTTCAGTGATTTCGCACGAATACATAAGAAATGCAAGCGATGAAACTTTACAATTTAGAAAATTAGAATTTTCCATTGCCGAAATGAAAGGATAAAAGCTTTAACTCAGAACTTGGAGGGGAAGTCCCATGACGAAGTTCGTGATCTGTTTGTGAGCCTCTCCAGCAGGTGGAACGTTTGAGTCTTTCAAATTTATAAATTTCATGTCAATTTCAACTTCGGTAAGCATGGAATGTAACCAATTCGCTCAAACGAAGTGAAACTTGAATTTCAAGTTGTTCATTTCAATTGTTTCGTTTTAACCTGAAATTAATTTTCAATTAATTTTCCACTAAGAAATTATGACCAAGATCGAATTTAATCGTAAAGTGGCCTGATTGCGATTTGATTACCTGAAAGGAAGTAGCGAGAACTATGGCAGGATCGGAACTGGGCGAAATGGACTCCTGGAAAGATAATCCACAAAAAATCACGAATGAAACAAAGTATCCTAGTTGCAATAACTTGCGGATATCTATTGCTTAATTACAGTCGTCCAAAAAGAACCATTAGGGACTCTTGCATTTTCAATGCAATATCAATCAATCAATCAATCAATGCAATCAGTCAATGAATGATTAATTTAATAAGCGAATAATCAATTTAATCACTGAATAAAGTCGTTGCTTATAAATATAATAAATCAGATCGCAAGCTTCAAGAAAGCACACAGCATTAAGACGGGTGAAGTATTGTTGAAAACATGAATAACTTTAGTGACTCCACCTGTCCGAGGAGGTGACAGTAAAACAGCAGGTGATCCAAGAAAAAAAAAAGTCAATTCTTGTGGAAGATGACTGCAGGCACTCTGAACCTCGCAGGTCGGAGAAGGTTTTTTCTCCTTCTTGGAGGAGGAAATCAATGGATCATCCAGGAGGAGCCTGGATGATCTGGAGCCACGCGAAAGCGATTTCACTGGGGGCAAGAGGGGAAAAGGAGGAGGTTCGGGTCCCTCTCCTTCTCCTGCCTCGGGGCTTGTGGGACGATTCTCAAGCATTAAGTCATCTTTGATAGATTCCCGGTATTTTGATCTCCGTGGTGAGACCACTGTCGTCTGTTGCGTGTTGCAGCCTTTTTCGGAGAACTCTCGGCCAAAGAATCAAGGTTCAAGGTTTCAGCAGGAACGTCACAATTACTTCTGCGTAGTTAGCGTATCTGCCCTCTCTGCGCTCCTGTAATACTCGTGCAGATTATTGGTCTATATAATCAGTGGCGCATTTGAGATTTGGAAGCGCTGGAATTGACCCACTTATCGTGCCTGTGCGATGGCACCAAAGTTCGCATATTCCTTTGAGTTTAGGCGCAATAGCACCCTGAAGTAGGATATTGTCTCTAAAATCACCCGATGTACTGTATATCTGTAGAGGGCTTGGACTATCTCATATGAAAGCCTCGGCTTTGTCGCATGATGCCTCCTCACGTCCTTTCCTTCTTGCCTCCCCCCCGCCGTTAATTCCCTTGGAAGTACGGTTCTATATCATCCTCCTCGAAGTATATCTAGCTTGAGAGGATGGGACCTCTGCAGTCATCTTCCACGGATATAGCGCTCTCTCTCTCGAGATATTTTTCTTACAATTTTCATTTGAAAGAGCATGTCATCTACGCCCTCGTCACTTACAGCGATACTGCCGTCTCTTATTCCGCAACCCGAGTTTCATTTGTCTGGGACTCAGGAAATATAAACAGCGTCCTCCTCGTTCGACTGTAACCATGGAGTCGAAAAAAACCAACACACCCCACGAAATCTATTCCCATAATAAAGTATGCAGTCATGAATGAGCCCCCCCCCCCCTCTTCTTTCTCTCGAGCGAATAGGGTCCCAAAGAGCGAACTTTGACATTTCTCCAACCTCTTAACATTTTTGCAGCATCCCCCTGAATTATCTCCTGAGCTGTCGATTCGCTTTAATGTCCACGACTTTAAAATCGAACACGGAAGAATGACGCACGCGCTACTCCTGGCAATCCAATGGTGTTTTCTCCCCAATAATGCACTAAAGAATAATGATAATGTTCAAAATTAAGCTTTTGCCGCCAGCGAGTGATAATAGGACTTGAACTTCTAATTTCAGATTATCTTAAATTCTCTTTCTTCGTTTATCCCCAGTTTACCTTCGCCAAACGTACCCAAAAATCTATTGTTATATCCAATATCCTTAAATTGAAATTCTTGAGCCGTTTTAATCTCAAATCATCGAAAGGTCTAAAGCTCTGTTGATTCTCGCCCAAACCAATCCCCTCGTGAGAAAGTCTGTTTCTGCGTTGTCTGCGAATTCCATTTCGCTCACGAATTCATCTGAATTGTTATTGCGAACCGCAAAGAGGAGCGATCGTAAGTCTAAAGCGGACCCCGCTCACTCGTACTTATTCACTTACTAACCCAGTACTGTACTAATTAAGTACTTGGCATCGAGAACCTTCAGAAAGTACACGACGGTGCTCCGCTCCATCCATCGCATCCGTCATCGAATCGCGAAATTTCAGTGAATTCATTTAATAATTGGTGAGTCCCGCATTCCATAGCGATGAAAAATGTGACAGGACGTTTCTCAAGAGAGATAAAATGCTGCCATCCGGGAAGGACTCATAAAAAAGCTGTACTGTACAACATCGATTCGCGGAGAAATTGCTCAAGACACAGGAGATATTAATGACAAATAAAAAAATATAATAAATAAAATTGCATTAAGCAAAAAAAATGGCTGAAACATCATTTTTTCTTCTCTTGTCATGGATTAAATAGCATTCTAAGCCTCATTATAATTAATATATTAAAGAGTTTAGAAACTCAAGTCATTACAAGCAACTCTGACATTAATATAAATTGGTATGAATTGGTGAAAATGTTGCAATTTATCAAATTAAATTAGTCAAATTCTCGCGACTGGTCATAAATATCTGCGGGTGGGAAAAGAAACAATGATTGCTGTAATATTAGCACGAGAAAGAAATTATTTGCATAAGCGAGAGGGTGTACGGGAAAACTTGTCCCCGGCAAGTTTTTACGGCGTACCGTTTCTCGTCTGCTGTTTTGGGACGCCATGGCTCTTCTGCTTCATACCTCGTTCGCCTTTGGGACTCCGTTTCTCAATATGCAAGTTTTCTTCTGGCAGAAGGTTTCGTTCATTCCACGGGATCAATTGGTCTCGGGCTCGGGCTTCCTCGAGCATATCTTCTTCGCCCAGGGCATGTTTTGCTGACCTTTCCTCTCGGAGGAAGCCTAGGAAGTCTTCTCTAGACAAGTCCTCATTGCCATACCCAGACTCGACTCTATTAATTTGGGATTGCAAGTCTTCCAAGTTCCCCCGCAGGCCCTGGATCTGTCCCTGCAAGTCTTCGACCTGGGACCTGAGCTGATGGGAGACGGCGTGGAGATGGAGGACGGCAACCAGGGCCAGCAGGGAGACGATGCAGAGGACCAACACGAAGAAGGCAACGAAGCGGACGTACTTCCCCTTGAACTCGATCTTCGACTGCCACTTCGTTGTGATCTCTACCGGTGCTACAAAAGTCATCACCGATCAATATCCTCCACCAATTTAATTCAGGAGCTGCATAAAGTGACGGGATTATTGGAATAGTCGTATAATAAATTGAATTGAAAACCGGAATAAATTATTAATCGTGCTGTATTGAACAAGCTTCAAAATAATTTTATTTATTTATTTATATTAATATCAGGAAGGCACAAGAACGGACAGTGCACGACTACGCCATGGGTGTAAATATGATTAATCTTATCGATATTTCAAAGGGTGGAACAGATATATTGATTAATGTTAATGGTTAATGTTTGCCGAGCTGAGAACAGATCGAGTATGTGATAGTAGAACTGACCTGCGAATTCCGGCGGAACAGGGAAAGGAGTGGATGATATTTTGGTATATTCGGTTTTAGACATTTCTCTCGCTTTTTTCTTTTCTTCTTTTAAAGGCCATGTAAACCTCCGCTCAGGTTGGAACGGGCGCAGGAATAACTCGGGTATAAATAAGTTGTGCTTTCCCGCGCATTAAAGATGAGTTCCATATAGTTTTTTGAGTCTTGGTACTGGTAGCACATTTTGAACATGAAAATCGCAGCAAGAAGTCCAAGAAGTTCTCTGATGCACGTTCCGCGATGCTCTGAACGAGGGCTCTCGGGTTCCAGCACTTCGGAAGTAGACTTCGAGGGGGGAGATAATGGAAATGCCAATTTTCTGCAACTCAACACTAATGGGAGATCGGGAAAATTTGCACTGGGAAAGACACGTTACAAGCACCTGACGACAGGTTCAGCTCCTCCCATGTGAATCATGTCCGCGATATATTTTTTTCCCCAAGGAATTCCTCTTAATCTGAGATAACTAATCTTAATACAGTGTGTTCATAAAGTCTTTGTGCACTTTTTTTTATTACTTTTAAAAAGTAATAACTTTATTTCCAGACTAGAGAGAAGAAAACAGTAAAAACCATTTGAATGCTAAGATTTTAGAGCTTGTTTTAACACCGAACAACATTACCTCAAGTTTCAACAAATTCATCGTTTGCGGCAATACAGCGTTCAACTCGTGTTCTCAAAGAATGGAAAACATTGTCCAGATGTTCTTGTTCTATGTCATTAATTGCTCTTGAGATTTTGGCCTTAATTTCTTCCTAATTTGGGGGCTTGGAAGAGTAAGCAATACTTTCGACATGGGGAAAGATCTGGTGAACCAAGGGAAAGGCCTGCCTTTACCGATCCATCTTCCAGGAAACGTTTCGTTCAAAAAGCTTCAAGCATTCAATGAATTGGGACATGGGGCCCCATCTCGCTGAAAAGTGGTGTTGATCGAAAGGTTTAAAGCCTTGAGTTGGGGAATTAGGAAATTCCTTAGCATTTCCAGGTAACGCTCCCCATTAACGTCATCATCGAAAAAGAAAAGACAATAACTCATGATTTATTTTAGGGCACACCAAACTGTGACCATGAGTGAATCGCGTTCATGTTGTCACACTTCAACAGATGTCTCAGTGTCCCAAATGCGGCTATTGTGACGGTTTACTCTTCCACTGATATGGAAAGTAGTCTCATCAGAGAACATAAATTCCTCTAAAAATGTCCGTGAATTGTCGATGTTGGAAAGAAACTGATGCCAAAAGTTCAATCCAATATGGTAATCATTTTCCAATAATTTCTGGGTGATTTGGATTTTGTAGACATGTTTACGCAAATGAAATTTTAGAATTTTATGCAGAGTGCTTTTTAGAATGTTCAGTTCATCCGATGCGCGCTTAACCGATTTTTTCAGACTCTTTTCGGATGATTCCTGCTCGACCGCTCCAGTGTCTGCACTTACAGATATGGCTTCCTGACTGAGGTTCATCATTTACAGATCCTGTCTTCCTAAATTTCTTCGTCCAGTTCCTTATTGAGTTGGCATGAGGAGGATCCTTGTAATGACTTCGAAACTTTCTTCTTAGAGCTATTACTGTATTCAATTCAGCCAACCACAGCAAACAGTTGAATTTTTCTTCTGTAGTCGCCATTTTGAGATTCAGCGCCTATAGCGGTGCTTGTAAAACCTGAAGGAAAATGTAAAATGTAAGCATCTATATGGTTTTTACTGTTTTCTTCTATCTAGTCAAGAAATAAAGTTTTTACTTTTTAAAAGTGCACAAGGACTTTATAAACACCCTGTACAGCATAACGGCACATGAAAAGTTTATCAGATACTTATAATGCTAATCCTACGAACTGTTGTGAAGAAAAGTAAAGTGATCGAGAAGGTAGTTCGACCAAGGAGCACAAACAACTCTTCCCCAGCCCAACCCTTTCTCTATGGAAACCCGATCGCTTGTGACCTGAAATTCCGCAAGCGATGGCAAATCCTGTGGAAACAGACGAATCGCTCCATCAAATGGAAGGAGGAAGACGGAAGGATATATGAAGAAGGTAATAGGAAGACCTTCGCCTTTCATTAATTTCCTTCCCTGCATCAGCGATGCCTCCCCATTTCTGTCCATTCATTCACGCTTTCATTCACTCATGCTCCCAGTTTCAGATTTCTCGGGTCGTCCAGTCGTCTTTCCATAGAGTTGAACATTTCTTGCTCTCCGATTCACTACTCTCCAAGCAGCCTGATCTTCATCGCTGAGTTCATTTCGCGATCAGTTAAAACCTGTTGGATTGAATGAGAAAACGTGCAAAATTATTTAAAACCCAATTTTTTTTATTTCTTGGACTTGATGCCCAGATAAGACGTTAAGAAAACAGGTACAATGTTTGTCAAGTAATCTATATGTAATACGCCGTTCGTCACCAACTCATTGGATAACCCCAGAAGTAATGATCGGAAGCATCGAAAAAAAAAATAAAAGAAATGCTGGAAAACTGTCTAATTCTGGTGCCCAAATATGACTAAGACGCAATCACATACAGTTATTGAGTTTTCCACCACCGATTTGTTTGATAGATACGAGGTGAGGTGCATCTCCTTGGATGTAGTGGGAGAAATGCCACTCCATTCAGGCGTTAATGCACATCTGAACTAGTCGAAAATGAAAGGAGATAATGGGGAATGCACCATCTCTGAAGTGGCCGCTCGTAAAGGAAGAACATTGCGATAGATAAAGCACTGCCACTCCTTACACGAAGCACTGAAACGGCGCAGATACTCAAGTTCACTCATTCACGAGGGTAATACGAGAGTCACTCAATAAGTTATCTACCTGAATAAGAAAGAAACATCCGAGGAGAAAAATAACACTTTATTTTTCAATGTTGTCACCTTTTAACTCAACACACTTATTCCACTTTGAATCCAAGGATTTTATTCCCTGGGAATAGAAGTCAACTTCTTGTCCATTAAACCAATCAGAAATGGCAACTTTCAGCTCTTCATTGCATGAAAATCCTTTTCCCCGCAAAAAATTTTTTCAAGTGTCTGAACAGAAAATAGTCACTAGGAGCCAGATCCGGCCTGTAGGAAGGATGGTTGAGCTCCTGAAAGCCACACTCCCTCACTGCTGCCTCAACTTTCCATGATTTGTGGACGGGCGCGTTGTCATGGAGAAGAAGGACCCCCCTTGACAACTTTCCTCTGCGTTTTTCCTTGATGGCATCATGTAAATTTTTCATGGTGGTAGCATAGGAATCGCCAGTGATTGTACACTCGTCTGGCATGAACTCAAGCAACAGTAGTCCCTCGCTGTCCCAAAACACAGTGGCCATAATCTTTCCTGCAGATTTCTGAACACGAAATTTGCGAGGCGTTGGCGATCCCTTGTGCTTCCACTGCATGGACTCCTGCTTGGTTTCGGGATCCCAGTGATGAACCCACGTTTCATCACCAGTTACTATACTGGGGAAAAAAGTTTCCCGATTTGTTTAGAAAACTCCAAGTTTTCCTTGCAGATGTCAGATCTGTTCTTCTGAGCCGGAGTCAGCATTCTTGGGACCCATCGAGAACTGACTTTGGACATGTGTAATTTTTCATGAATAATGTAAATCACCGTGCCATCTGAAATCCCCAGTTCATGAGCTAAAACAGAGACTTTGGTGCGACGATCCTCCGGTATCGCACTCTCCAATTTGTCACATGTTTCCTGATCAGAAGCCTCCACAGGGCGCCCCGACCTTGGGTCATCTCCAATCGACTCTCTTCCCCTCTTAAACTGCTTGCTCCAAAATTTAACTCGGTAATAAGAAGGCGAAGACACACCATAAACGTTAGACATACGTTCATGAGTCTCCTTAGGTGCTTTCCCTTCTTTGGTGAGGAATTTGATCACTGAACGATGTTCAACTTTCGTCAAATCCATGACACAGACTCAGGAAAAGGAATCTAATGCGCTACCACTTTTGAAGTCTTGGTCGAGCGTTCGTAGCGTGAGGACGTGTTGGAGGATACTCTCGAGGTTCTGTCAGCTAAGTCGTGAGTTAGTTGTTACCTGGCTACTTTGTAGCAGTATTCATAAGTTTTCTGATAGCTACCTCCAACTTCACATTAGATCAGTATCAATCAGCCTAATTACTTTAAGTATTAGCACATTACTCGTAGTATTCCTTTAACTACAAGGACTAGGACAGTACAGTCTTACCGGGTTACAACTAGTGTGAAGTACTGCAAAGTATAAGTCTAAAGCAGTAGGAGTGTCAATAGGGATCAATAACATTAAGTAAGTAAGATGCCTAGGATGTGTAGATGCGTTCGTTGCGGGGATTGGGTAGGTGGGACTAGTCAACGAGAGGTATGCCAGGTATGCAGAGTCTGTAGCTTGGAGGAGCGACTAGGGGAGCTATCGGGAAGGCTCATTAGCGTGGAGGAGGAGAT